GGTACTCGACTGTGTTGTACTTGGAGTTGAGAATGACGAAGTATATGCCGGGGAGGAGGATGGGGAAAGTATCGCTGCACATGTTTTTGGAGGGAGAGTACTTGGACTCGCTGCTTCCCGAGTCAAAGACGGCGCTTAAGCAAGTACCTTCCTCCAGGCACTCGCTCTGCACCAATGACAGGGAGAAGCAGGCATCCTTTTACCAGCACCACTACTGTGACCACTGCAAATGTGCAGGTACCTCCCCTCGCCTGACAAGAAAAGGTACATGCTTCAAAGGCAGACAGCAGCCAGGCAGGGACGGTGTTAGAGGCCATAGACGAGACGAGGCTCCTTCAGTCGAAATCCAAGGGAACAGCCAGAGCAGCGTCCCGACTGGACCAGACACAAGAGCCGAAACCAGGCGAGCGAGAGACGAGACGATTTCCCCGGCAGAGAGCGTAGGGCAGTTTTCAGCCTTGTTGAGATGTTCATGCACTGCGCTGGAGGTGATGGTCCTTTTCCCTAGGTCTTTCCTGAGGTACCTGCCGACCGGGACGTTGTCATCATAGAACCTGAGGCTGTTCAGTGGGGTCCTTGGTCTAGAGCCGCCGGCAACCGAAACTTGAGCCTCCTTTCAGCGGGCGACATGTACTTTTACCCACTGTGCCGCCAAAAAGATACTTCACATCACTACATCGAGTTGACAGCGAGACAACGTCACTTTCCTTCAATCTGCACCTCAACATTCCAGCCCAACTCCACCGCCAGAACGAGGCGTTGCTGTACCTGACGCTACCTCTCATCCGGGAAAGGCCACCACCTCTCTAGAATGTTTCGCGAGTCCCTTTCATCAAAGTTACGGGCTGTCCAATATTAGACGTCGGCATGCCACTTTGCAAGGCATGTGAAGTGTAAAAACCAATCGAGATGAGATGCCAAGTTCGAAGGCGAGGCGGCTGAGGGCCAGCGATGACGATGCTGAAGATCTATCCGTCCTGCCTGCTTTGCTGCCACCTCACAAATGGCCTCATAAAAAGAAAGCAGAGAACAGTTCCCGGCCCGTGTCTTACCATCACGACAGGGTCTACCCAGAGACAACACATTGTCCTCCCACGGAATACGGGCCAGTCGAACCTTGTTCGGATCGAGGGACCGTCTAATCATTTCCATCAACAGAGGGAATGAGAAAAAAAGACAAAAGGCATGCTTCGCCCCTCGGAGACGAAGGGTGCGTTTGATACCCGCTCTCCGTCCTCCGACTTGAAGGTGCTTGCTTGCCAAACGCTTGGACGCTTCTCCGTCAACTGCTTCAGGCCAGTCACACACAAACTCGCCTTCATTTGCCCAAAGGCACAGACTCTTGGCGTCTTCCCATTGACAAGTCCGGTGACAATCTCATGATTTCCTTCCTGCCTTACGAGACCGTCGAGACGGGATGTCAGGGCCTCGGATGCTGACTACTATGCGGACCGCCCCAGGACGGGTTAGACAGGGCCAGCAGTTGTGTTTCGTTGTCCCCTTTTCCAAAACCGCATTTCGGGCAGTTCCCTTAGTTTCCTCTCGTATCATCGTTCCAGGGTTGGCCAATTTGCGGCCGATGATGGCTCGCCCTACACCTGATACCGAATTCCATCTATTCATCCTGGGTCATCCATGCTCGACTTTTCTTCACATCCAATGGCACTTTCAGGCGATTCTACAACGCTGGGCGAACTCATCAAACGCCATTTCGAACCGTGATTCATGATTCGACGGACGGCATATCCCACCATGCCAGCTCAGTGTCGGAGGTCGGAGGTCGGAGCTTATGAACAGCGGTTCGCGTCTTCGGTGTGTCGACGAGTCACAGCCTCCCATCCTCGGCGGTGACCCTTGCTTGAATGTTAAAGCAGACGTCGTGTTTTTTCCAAACCCTCCCAGCTTGACGGGCAGGCTGCCACCTCTCCTTACGTAGGTAGATGGTCAGGGAGCCTCCTCCCGGGCTTCCGAGGTCCAACGACACGAGATTACAATACAGACCAGCCGATTGAGTTGGGCAAAAAGAGAAAAAAGCAAAGCAAAGCCTATGTTTAAGAATAGCACACAACCAGGCGCGGGGGTTAAACGTGTGCAGGGTCTGCGGGTGATGACAAGGTTGAGACCCGGCAACGACCACATGACCTGGTCTCACCTCGTTCGTCATTTGGGACGAGCAGCAGCAGACACAGCTTCGTGAGCTCCCAGCATCGGTTGGCCAGCATCGCGAAGGAGCTATCACCAGCATTGAGTATTCGCGTCCTGACTACGCAAGCACCTCACTGCCGGGTCAGCCAACTGCAGGATCGATAAGGTGTATATAGCCCGATGTCAGCATGCAAGACCAGTCGTTGGACGCCCATCACTCAAGTCGACAGCAGCTTCGAGGCGCAGCGTGATGGCATCAGGGATCCTGGACGCCATCACGCGTGGGCGCTTAGACGGTCACATAGTCCTGTGCAGTCGGCATCCTCTGTGGCAACTTCATCTCACCGGCCTAAGCATCACGGACATGCCTGCTCCTCTGTGCTCTCCTCGCCACAAACCGGTTTAAGCAGCTGTCTTCCAGCATCGATGAATTTATCGAGGCCGCTCCCCGTACTCGGCATGCATCATACTAACAATCGCATGATTTACAACTGTTCCGGCCTTCAAATGCATCAAACGCAGCGAGACCGTTAGAGGGGCGCAGATGTCAAGACCGCAGCATCAGCATTGGTGTCGGCATCGAATCCTTGGATCCAACGTTAAGCAGTTCCTCCCGCTTTTCGCCCCAAGCACGGACCACAGTCGAGTGCATACCTGCTAGTACCATGAGAAACCGCATCGAATCAGCAATGCAATTGAGGATGACAGTCTCATAAGCCGTCGCAGCTCTTCTGAATGGTCTCCTCGGTGAGCTCTAAGTTGGGGGCTGTCCAAGGGATCTGAGATCGCATCGAGTACGTACCGCAGCACAGACCATTGCCCAGCGGAGATTCCCGTCCACGTGACGGTTGAGACGTCATTCGGCAGCCCCGCGCCCCTCCGTGCAGCTGCCAATCGGCCCACTCCATTGGCTGACAGGCCCCGAAGCTCCAATTGGCAATTGCCATTTGCATGACCTGGACTAGCATCTGCCGATTACAAGCGTCACGATCAGACTTCCATCCTCCTCCTACTCCTCCTGCCCCCCCGACACTGCGAGCTCACCAGTCTGTGCTGCGCAGGAACAACACGCTCAAAGATCCCACATGACTGGACCATGAGTCGCTCTACCCCGTCGGCACCGAAATCGATCTAACAGCACCCGTCTGCGCCGTCCCGCCCGCCCGAGCCTCCCGTCGACAGATCCATCCGAAGAACCTTGAGGCTGCCATCAGCCCACCCACCACCCACCTACGTCCATCCCCCCTCGACGATACCCTCCCCAATCAACACCCCCAATGTTCCGCCCACGAGTCCTGCGGGCTCTGCCCAGGGGTCGTCTGCAGCCCGTCCGAACAGTAACACCCCGCCGCACCTTCATCCGCCAGCGGTCTTTCGTCCACCAGCCCACCGAAAAGTACAACATCAACCAGCTCAGCGAAGCCCGCACCAGCTACGATCGCGACCGCACATATTTCCTCGCCGCCGGCGCGATCGCAGGCATCATCTCCTTCGTCTACACGGCCAACAAGCTCCGCAAGGCGCTCGCCGCAGAGAAGAAGCGCAAGGCCGCAGGCGCAGGCAGCGACGGGAGCTCTGACGCCAGCGCCGACCACCGCACCGGCTACCAGCTCGACTCGTCGGTGCCGAGCGAGACCTTCACGACCGAGGCGGGAAGCAAGCGCAAGGTCGTCATCCACGACGAAGAGGGCAAGGAGCTCGTGCCCACCGGCAACAAGACCGTCCCCAGCTTCCCCCGCACCATCGAGCTCTCCTCCAAGCACTCCGCCTCCTCCCGCGACCCGGAAGCCGCCGCGCAGGCCCCGATCGCCGCCTCCGTCCAGGACAGCGACGGCGTCGAGTACACCCTCGTCGGCCTCGGCATCCGCACCGTCAGCTTCCTGAGCATCCAGGTCTACATGGTCGGATACTACGTCGCCACGCAGGACGTCGCGAAGCTGCAGCACTACCTTACCAAGAAGATCAATCCGATCGCGACGACGCTGGTGCCCTCTGAGCGCGACACACTGAAGGAGAAGCTGCTGGACCCTGCGGAGGGCGAGGAGACGTGGACGGCCCTGCTGCAGGAGGTCGGATGCCGCAGCGCGTTCCGCATCGTGCCTGTCCGCGACACCGATTTTCCCCATCTGCGCGATGGCTTCGTGAGGGCGATCACCCACAGGTCGGCGGCGGACAAGGAGTCATACGGCGACGAGGCGTTCGGCGAGGCGATGCGAGACTTTAAGAGGCTGTTCAGCCGCGGCAAGGTGCCCAAGTCCAAGGAACTGCTGCTGTGCCGCGACGAGAAGGGCGCGCTCGAGGTCATCTATGACGATGGCAGGAGCTTCGGGCGCCAGAGCTGCGGCAAGGTGCAGGATGAGCGCGTGTCGAGGCTGCTGTGGCTCAACTGGCTGGCCGGCAAGAAGGTGGCCTCGGAGCCGGCGCGGACAAGCATCATCGACGGCGTGATGGAATTTGTCGAGAGGCCTGTCGGCACCGTCGCCGCGCAGGTTGTATAAAACATGTAAAAAGCAACGTAGCGATATAAAGATCCCGACTCGTAGACGACGCATATGAGCTGTGCAGTCACGGAAAAAGGCAAGACGCATGTGTATACAATAGTTTATGATATTCTCTGAAGGTCTAGAGACACTAGGTCCCCCCTCTATCGTGACGGTTCCTCCGCATGATTGGTATCTCTACAGTTCATCCCCCTCACCAAAGCTTTGTTACACAACTCTCGGGCATCTCAGCTACAGCCTGGACGTGGACGACCTTTTGTGCCATGCGCGCCCGTCAGCCTTCTGCCGGTGACTACTTCTATCGCATTCTCGCGCACAAGAAAGGTTTTTTGACTGGACGAGAAGAGAGTCTCCTTACGCCTTGAGAGCGTTGGCCTCCTTGAGCAGGTTCTCGAGCTTGTTGCCCTTGAGGAGGCCCTGGATGTCGGAGTTGCCGCCGACGTGCTTCTGGGCGATGTAGCTGTTGGGGACGGTGCGCTGGCCCGAGATCTGCTCGAGGACGTCCTGGATCTCGCCTCCGTCGGCTGGGGGTGGTGTCAGTAAGTGCATTTCGCGGTGACGGGGAAGAAGATTGGGGAGAAGCAAAAAGAAAAACATACGGAGGAGGTCCAGCTCGACAACCTTGTAGTCGGCGTTGAGCTCGTCGAGGGTGGACTTTGTCTGGCGGCAGTAGGGGCAGTAGGACTTTGAGAAGACGACGACCTTGTTCTCGTCGATGATGGACTGGACCTGCTGCTTTGTGACGGCCATGTTTGCTACGTTTGGGGTTGAGGAGAAGAGGCGGCGGAGGATGAAGGACATTTGGTGGTTGGTTTTGCGACGGGAAGGAGGGGGAGGGGTATTGGTGATGTTATAAATGTACGGATACGGGATGGGAAGAGCCGGGGCCGGTGGGTTTATTTGTCAGGCACCGGGGGCGGGAGGCGAGGTACTTGGATGGGTGCGTGGGAAGGGTGGAGGGGGGATGTACACCGGGAAGGCGGGTTACAGGACAGTGAAGGAGACAGAGGCTACTGGAGAGTGAACAGGCGCTGGGGGGGTTTTGCGAGGTCGGGGTGGTCGGAGGGAGTGAGTGGATGATGCAATCGGGAATGGGGATTGGAAATGCACCACGGCCGCGGTTCGAGGCAGCGCAGCAGCGAGAGCAATTGGAGGTGTAATTTTCTGGTTCCCCGCGGCAGAATTGCGGATTCTCGGGGCCCCGATTTATGGGCGGTCGGGGGAGGTGTCGCAGGCAGGGGCCGCTCTACTAACATGAATCACAGTTGTGTTGCCGTGGCTGGGTTGTGTTTGTCATTGTTTGATTCCATCATGGCATCCATTTCTAAAGTGTTGGCCACAGGAACAGGAAGAAAAGCGTCCAATTACATACAGCCGCAGGCGTTGGTTGATTTTCGCAATGGTGAGAACCTAATTGCGAGTTGCCGCGTGATCTGTCAGCAACCAACTCCTGGCGCAGGTGAGGTCATGAGGGCGAATTACTCGCATGGAAAGATCAAAGAACAGAGCAGAAGCCAGACGATAAGGATAAGATAAGAAACCCAGGTAAGGCAACCGTCCTTATCGTCGTCATCCTGGTCCAAGTGCCCGAGGTCTTTGCTTTGCTTCGTCCAGGGACTTTCAGGGACTTTTAGAGCTTTTAGGGACTGGGATTCAGGGACCTCTCGTCTGAGGCTGCTGGACCAAGTGAAAGACACTCGGATAGATCTATCTCATTACGCACATCTTACCCGCGTCTAGCGCCCGATCGCATCCTTGGGCATCCATCCATACACAGCCGTCTTGGTGAATCTGTCTGAATCCTGAATCCTGAACCCTCTGGGCTGGTTGGGCTTTTCACGATGCAAGATCCCTGTCCGAAATCCGAGGTGGCAGGCTCCTAGGCTCAGCCGCTTCGGTTGTTCGCCTAATTTCGAGATGAGGTAAGGCAGCCGGTACTTGCTGCGCACCTAAAATTACAGCAGGGCAGCTCCAGTATCAGGGGAGAGCTTGCTGCCAGCTTGTCCCCATTCGCCACCACCACCAGCTCGTGCCACCTGCCACCTTGCCTTTCCTTCCGCAACTCATCCGAAAATCTTTTGGAAATTCACCGTCTGCCGCTTTAGACGACGCCATCGCGAACACACACCACTCGAAGCAAACAAGCGACAACATCACCACCGCCGCCACCGTCCCTCCCTCCCTCCACACGCCTGCGCTACTCGTGTCCTCCGGGCATCTCCCCGCCGACCCATCGCCGCGCCGTCCAGGTACGTCCCAGGTTGCTCGCCCGAATCGCCTCACGCGTGTCCGCTCCAAAGACGCCGTTGCCATCGGCCCGGCCAATGATCACGGCTCCTCCCTCCGCATCCCCGTCATTCGCTGCACTTCCCGGTTCTCCAGAACCTCCTCCACACTGCTGCATTGGATTGGACACATCCAATACTTTGACATATTCACGCACCACCGTCTCTTTGGCTCCTGAGTCTGCCGTCATCCCATAGGGCCGCGCCGCCAGTTGCCAGCTCTCTCCTCTGCCCACCACCCTTCGGCCAGCTAGCCAACCAACCAACCCCTGCCCACCACTCGTTGCCCGTCTCTGTCGTCGTCTCGTCGCTCGTTTGTGTCTTCGTTGCTGCTCTGCACTGCGCTGCGCTGCTGCTCACGCTGCTCACCAAAGCTGACACCCCCTTCGCTGGGCTTCTTTTCCAGTCCTCTCCTCCAACAGCCTCACCTCACCACGCTCTCCTCCCGGATCCTTGACCCAGGCTGGTGATCGCCCAAGCCAGTCCGCCGGTAGCAACACCCTCACGACCACCCTACCTTACCTTGACTACGGCTACATACGCACGACTGCCTGTCTTACCCCACTGCTCGGCGTCCTGCATCGACTACACTACCTTACCCGGCCCAAGATTGCCTGCGCTGCTTTGCCTGCTGCAGAACGGCCTGATCTGCCAACCCCGCGAGTCGGAAAATCCCAGACCCAGACGAGGCAATACCCCACGACACCACGATCATCCACCGTCGTCGTCCCGGAGAATCGCTGTCGCCGTCCGGTCCTCCTCTCCAGCCTCACTTCCCCCCCTCCACCCCTCCTCCACTTTCCTTCTTTTCCTAGACTGCGTCCTTAGCTTTAAGGACCGCCTACTCCCGCCAAGGTGGCTTCCAGTCAGCCTCTTCTGGCATCTTCTGGTGCCCTGTCCAACATCACAGCGTTGCTGCCCACCTCCCTCCAGCTCTATCTCGACAAATCCATCGCCAGCCTAGCCGCCCTCATCGCTGACTACTCCGACTTCCTCTCCGATAAAACCGGTGTCGACCCGAACCTCATCCTCTACAGCACCATTGGCTGCATCCTGCTTGCCGTGCCCTTCACCATGTCTAGATACGGCTGGTCCACGAATCGGGAGCAGATATCTCCCTACACCTCTACCATGAGCGGTGTCCCCGACGTCACCGACGAGGACTTTAGCTACATCACCACCGAGGACCTCCAGTCTTCCTCCCTCGGCAGCTCCGTCCCCACGAGATCGTATGCCCACAACCCGAGAAGGACCAGCGCCCCCGTCCCCGAGGACGACGTGCTGCTCATCAAGAACAAGGGCGTCACCTACCCCACCCACTTCCCCGCCTACACCATTGGCGACGGCAAGCTTCGCGTTCGCGATGTGCGGGACCGCGTCAGCGTCTTGCTGGAGCTGTCAGAGCGCCGCGGGCGCAAGGTTAAGCTGCTCTACAAGGGTCGCCAGCTGAAGGATGCCGCCGCGCCGGTGCGGGACTACGGTGTCAAGAACAACAGCGAGGTCATGGTTGTGCTCCCCGATGGCGACCTCGAGCCTGAGAGCAGCGACGACTCAGACGAGGAGATGGTTGTGGTGGCTGGCGACGGTGGCAGCACTGTCGGCAGCGCCGCCGGCACCGACGACGGCAAGAAGCGCCGCAAGGGCAAAAAGGGCCGCAAGTCGAAGAAGGGCGGCCGAAGCAGCAACCACACCAGCCCCCGCGATAGCGCATCAAATCTCGGCGTCCCGGGGACCGACGCTGGCAGGTCGCCCACGCCTATCAGACAGGCCAATGGACCCCACGCCAAGCTGGATGCCATTGCGTCGCACTTTGAGACGGAGCTGCTCCCGCTCTGTGACAAGTTCATTGCAGCACCGCCGACGGACCCCAAGAAGCGCGAGGACGAGCACCGCAAGCTTTCCGAGACGACGATGCAGCACGTTCTGCTAAAGCTCGACGAGGTCGAGACGGAAGGCGACCAGGAGGCTAGGGCAAAGAGGAAAGCCCTGGTCCAGCACGTTCAGGATGTTTTGAAGCGTCTAGACTCTAGACTACGCTAAGATACGTTGATACGTTCACGAGATACCCGGCATTGCACATGCCCATGGTGTCTCGACAAGACGGTACTACTAAGAAGAATTTGGGATTGATTGAGAGACGCATGGGAGGTTTTCTTCGGTTTTCTGCATCTTTCAGCGAGAATTGCATCTAGAGCCGCGTAGACAGGCGGTCAGCACGTTCAGGGAGGCTTGTGTTTGGTACGATACGAAGTTCGTCACCCGTTAGTTATCACGGTTACCTCAACCGGGTTGGCGAGGCGCACTACTGGCGCCGTAGTAGACAGGAATGGCAAAATGGCCCAAAGTTTTTCTGGGATCTTCACTCTAGCGATTGCGCACATGATGGTGATGTGGATTGTATGCGGCCCTGAGTCTTGTATCGCAGTCGCGTCGTTCAAGCAGGGCTGCAGCGTGACGTGAACATCATGGGCAGTCAAGGGGCTATCCTGGTCTGGCGCTTGTGGACTTGACGTCGGCTTATTCAGCAACGGTCGTCGGTCGGCGGTCGTTGATATGGACTCCTCCAGGTTGTGTCGATCGGGGGGGAGTCAAGGCCAGGTCCAGTCCAGAACGGTGCCCCGCCTCCCAGTGTCGGGTCCGGGCATTCCACACCGAGGTGAGCCACCCCTCCGCCGGTCGGTCGGGGCCTCGGTGTGCTTTTGGTAGGTCTCGTTGCCCTAACCTGCCTCAGGCGCGAATCTAACCCTCGCTTGCCGTCCAGCCCGTCTTGCCCAATGCGGCTAGGGCGGTTTTACCCGGCGCACTCACAGCAGGCGGCACGGGGGCTTTCTTTCTGCAATTTTGTGTGCGAGCAGTGACCTGTGTGTGCCAAATTTCTCCGCCCAGCTCCCGAATTCAAGATTGTCGCGACGACCTCTTCCCAAACTTACCATCCGACATCCTACTAACCCCAACGGCAGCACCCAGCCAGCGACAAATCTCTAACCGCCCAGAGGTTTGCAGTTCACCTTCGTCCCTTCCCTTCATTTTCAGCACAAAAGGAACAGGAACGATGTCCTCTTTCGAGCCGGTGGTGAGTCTCCTCCCGTCCATTGTGTTCCATTCGACATTTCGAGGTTTCGCGAGGGGGGTTTGGTGGTGGCCGATCTGAGGGTTCTCGAGATGTGATTTGTGTGGGCAGACGCCACAGCAAGAGGAGGGCACACGAATGCGCGACGGGTTGGTCGCAGAAGAGGTGGACGGTCTTTGCTGTCGCTGTCGCCGCGGCTGCTGGACACCGACGTCGCCGCTTCAATTGAGAGAACCCTCCTGTCCCGCCGACACGCACACGAACACGATGCCCGGTTGCAGATGGCTAACCCGAATGCCAACAGGTCGTCGTTGACGGCAAGGGCCATCTCCTTGGTCGTCTCGCCTCTATCGTTGCCAAGCAGCTCCTCAACGGCCAGAAGGTCGTTGTCGTCC